AGAAAGTTATACCAGGATGTGTGACCTGGTAGTTCATAAATCAAGTTGATGTTTTAAGCAAACAATTCCACCACTGCCCAATATTGGTTGATACTAACCATTGTAGAGTGGCTTCATATAGGTGTTAGTGGAGCCTGCGTGCTACGATCCCTCCGTCCTGCAAGGTTTTAGCAAAACATACTGAATTTGTAATAAAATAAAAGGCAAAAATGTCCAACCCTTTCAAGCAATAAAGAAGCCAAAACAAAGATACCAAGTACCAAGCAAGGGTGGAAGAGGGAAGCACTGTGTTGTTTTTTTTAGTTGACCAATTCAAAATTTAATTTGATAACACCACTGTGATTATTGGATAGAACAGTTATAATGAGATGTGACAACAAAACAAGACATACAACATATAAAGGTGAGAGAAGAAAGGAAGCAACATGCCAGTTGAAGAAAAGTCACAGAATCAATTTGTCATGACAGAAGTGAAGTGGACTTCTGAGACTTCATTTGTCTGATGATTACACAATGAGCACATTTTATGTCACTTATCACACTCACCTTGTAGACCAGCTGGTTCTGAAGCACGTCTATCGCCACGCCCATCTTCCGGTTGGTTTCTGTTGAGCAATAAAAATTTTGTTATGTAATAGTCTGCACCTTGTGCAGAAGGCTTTGTGCACAAAAGCTCTATACAATTTATGTCTACAATTTAAAATGTTTTAGCTAAAGTAACATGGGATGAATTACATTTTCAAAGAGTTTTAACTATGATATTTGCAAAAGCATAAACTACATATTTGTATTCAAGATACCATATTTGCTCTATTAGAAGCACATCTCATTAAAATATGACTTATTTTTTTTTTAATCTTCTCTTTATGTGGTATGAATAGAGTTTTGAATTACAGCGGGCTTCAGTGATTCCAAACAGATGCAAGTCTTTGTGAATCCAAGCATATTGGAACACTATCCCCCTCAGTGTCTGTGGTTTGAGCACATTTTTCCCACAATTTTTTACAAATTTTGACCACTAGATATTTCTTATTACAGTTCCACAACGCCAATAAAACTCAGGATTGACCTAAGAGGGTGGATATTTAAAAATTGACAGGAAATCTTATACATTGCCTCACATAAACCAACATTATAAAATCTCATTATAAAAACAGTATGTGAATCTTACATAAAGCTGGTCTCTTCTTGTGCTGGGAATGATGGTGGCAATCTGTATGGGGGAGGAGCACCACCTCTTGGTGTGCTGGACAGAGGTTGATCACCATTGCTAGGTCTGTAACAAAGCAACCAGATGTTGGTATGAATTTTATTGTTGTCCACATGTATAATACTGTCAGTAGATAATTTTGTGTCATTGATGCAAATTCCATATTGAGCAATTTTCAAAATATTTGTAATAGCAGATCATAAACAAGCTCCCTAGAAATAACTCTAAATATCTGATACTGAGGATAAGAGATTGTAACAAATACAAGGAGACTCTCGGCTGAGATAGCTCCGCTGTTAGCAATGCACATTTCAATTAAAAAACAGAAAATATCATTAAAAAATGAACAATATGTATAGTATCAAAACAATCAGACTTTCGGCTTTCAACAAGATGTGGAAAATATCACTTTTTATCAAAAATTACAAAAATATTCATCAAAATTAGAGAATTAAAGATATCATGAAATGAACAAATCTAAGTTAGAACCACATGTAGTACCTATATATGTAACATCAAAGCAATTGGACTTGAGGTTTTTAACAAGAAGTCAAAAATATCACTTTTTACCAAAAATGACAAAAATATTCACCAAAATTAGAGAATTAAATATATCATACAAAATGAACAAATCTGAGAGAGGTCCACATGTAGTACCTTTATATGTAATATCAAAGCAATTGGACTTGAGGTTTTTAACAAGAAGTCAAAAATATCACTTTTTACCAAAAATGACAAAAATATTCACCAAAATTAGAGAATTAAAGATATCATTACAAAATGAACAAATCTGAAAGAAGTCCACATGTAGTACCTATATATGTAATATCAAAGCAATTAGACTTGCGGTTTTTAACCAGAAGTCGAAAATATCACTTTTTACCAAAAATGACAAAAATATTCACCAAAATTAGAGAATTGAAGATATCATTACAAAATGAACAAATCTGAGAGAGGTCCACATGTAGTACCTATATATGTAATATCAAAACAATTGGACTTGCGGTGTTTAACAAGAAGTCAAAAATATCACTTTTTACCAAAAATGACAAAAATATTCATCAAAATTAGAGAATTGAAGATATCAACATGAAACGAACAAACCTAAGAGAGGTCTACCTAAGGTACATATACACCAAGTATCAAAGCATTCAGGATTGTAGTTTTCAAGAAGAGGTCGAAAAAGTAAAACATTGACACGGACGACGACGACAACGACAGACAATCACTCATATGATAAGCTCCGCTCGACAAAGTCGACAGCGGAGCTAAAAATACATTACACATTGGTCTTTACTGTTAATTAAAGGGGTGTGGTTGTTGTACCACACACAAGATTTGTAGTTTACAACCCAATGCACTCTCACAGTGGTAAGCTTGAATGAAAGTTGTGATCCAGTCACCATGTGCACTAAATACAGACTTTAATAGTCAAGCCTTAGAAGTGTCTTTTTTGGATATAGGAGACAATGACCGCCAGTCTAGGATTATAAATATGTCCTACAATAAAACTACTTTGGGAACAACGTGTTATGGTGACAGTTGTACTGAAGATCCACTAATCAAGTTGTTGAGTCAGTAACTTGGATTTAAGTTTAAAATACACTGTTATCAGAATTAGCTAAGTGAATCAAATGAAGGATAATCTAGTGCCAATTATTAGTTATCGGTATATTCAGTTTTATCACAGATTTTCACTATATCATGACTGGAACTAATAATATGTTTGTGTTGTACTTGTACACCGGCACCATCCCAACCACCACTAAAATACCACAGAAAATAAACAAACTATTTATATCTAAACTGAAGCAGCAATAACATTTCTAATAACTCCAGTATGACTGTTATTATTTGTGGAGACCTGCTACAATTCTGAAGTCACCGAAAAAAAGATAAAACTGTCAATATGAAAAACTTAGACATTTAAAGAAAAATTGTGTGGATTTTTACAGGGTTCATATTTGACTGTACATACACAGTACAATAGGTTTTGGGCGTAAATTAAACTAAATTGTGCTAAGTCACGAAGTGGGCTATGATTATACTGAAAGATAGAACTAATCCTTAAATCTAAAAGACAAATAAGTGACAACAAAGTGCATCTATTCCTGTACAATATCACAGAGAATTGAAAACGTCTGATTACAATGTGTGCAGAGCAAAATAACTCTTTTTCTAATATGTACTTTTAACATGTCAGACGGGCGTGGAAAAGGCGGCAACAACCTGTTTCTAACAGTATAGCACAGTACAGCGAGGCAGTTTATCACAAGATATGCCCCAAGCTCAAAACGCTTGTTTCATGGATGAGTGATCTTTACCACCAATTCTACCAAAATGGATGCCTAGTTTACACAGAAACACATTACATCTATACATCACATATAATGCCAGAGTCTCAGAAACTCACCATCACTGATAGTCCAAGCGGACTGGTTCATTCAAAGCAGAGTCGTAATAGCAGTGACTGCAGTGGTATGAATGTACAGCGAAACTCACCATCACTGATAGTCCAAGTGGACTGGTTCATTCAAAGCGAGAGCAGCAGTATAAATGTACAGCGAATCTCACTTCTATTCTAAACATTCAAATCTTTAAGCGCATTCTTTGTGTGCATATATTTCAGAAACTTAAACTCATGAATATTCATGAGAAGGGTGAGAGGTCATTCAGCTTGGAAATCACCTTTGGCAGTACATCTATTCTCGAGTATGTGCATATAAACGTCATGGCCATGTCAAATACAGCTGTAATTTTCTTTAACTAAAATTTTGCAATATTTCCTAAATCATTGTTTCATCAAAAGTTCAACTTAATTGTTGAATGTGAAGGAATGCAAGACTGGCAACAACCAAGAGGTAAAAATAACAAACAATTTGAAATTACCTGGATTCACATTTCCCAACGGGACAGCATTCTCATGACGCAGGAAAAATTTGACCTCTTCTCTATGTATTCCCCATTGTTGTAATATCTCATAGGGTTTCTCCTCATCGCCAATAGGACGTTCTGTGAATGAAATAATAGTTATAAGTATTTAAACTCAAGTACTGAAAATTGAATTGATGACAGTGTTTTATCACTGCAAATGTTCACAGCATAGCAGATGACAACCTTAAATTCCTGACATAAAATCAGTGAAAATTTATCCAGTCAGTTTCAGTTATTTTGCTACATCTGCATACTGTGTTTATTGTCTTGTTGATTTTAATCAAAACGTGTAGGAATACATAACACTGTTGATAAAAACGATATGATTTACACATTGTTCACTTTTAGCTAGTGGTGAAAGCGTAGAACAAGAGCCATGCATGAATTTTCACAGTCATTCACAATTTGTACAGTCAATTTGACTGTGCAATTCAAACAACATTTGTAACCCCCAAACCATGCCAGATCTATCAGAATAATTGTACAACATGAGAACTCTTAACATTTCTTTTACATGAACACATGCACAACTACTATAAAATATTCACTGCCTGGGTTTAATTTTAACAAATTTAAGGATGCAGAGATATTCACTGGGTTTTAAATATACTGGAGTGTGGAGGAAACAATACAAACTATTGTTAAATTATAATATATACTGGGTTTAAATTTAGCACATTTAATTGTCAGTGAAATAAGTGAAAATAAAACCTAATGATTAATTAATCCGTAATACAATAAAAGGGTAACTATGGTAACACATGTAGGTAATAAATAATTTACATTCTTCAGTCTAGTGGAAATGATAACTAGTATTTTGATCATCGTCACTCTATATATCTCTACATGATAACATTGCTCAAATACTGCAGTTGTCTGTTCCTTTATATATTTTTAGATGTCGACACAGAACAATTAAATCAGCGTAAGCCTGTTAATAGATTAAGTGCATCACAGCTGACGCAGTGGTGGGAAGCAATTTTTATTTAGTCAATTGCAAACTCAGCAGAATATAACCTTTTCATGGAAGGTTACAGCCAGGACTTGATTCTAATTTCACCCCACCCCTTACAGCGGTACATGAACTTAATTCAAATTTCACTCTAACCCGAAAGCACATGAACTTGATCCTACTTTCATTCCTCACCCCAACACAAAAAAATCATGAAATGCAACGACACATTGTCTATCAGAAAAACAACTGGGTATGTATTTGGAATGAAGTGGGTGGTTGAAACATATTGTTGGTAATAGACCATTTTCCGTTCACTGCGAGAATCACGCGCTATGCGTGAAATCGAACGTGAAAACAGGACAAACAAAGGTCATAGCGTCGTAGTGGTGTCAAACATCGCGTGAGATTCGACAAACGTGAAAGTATTTTGGGGGACATTTCCATGTCAATAATGTGCTGTACACATTTGATGATAGACAATTTTGATTAAAAGAGGATATTCGAATGCAATATTCCTCTGTCAAAGATCAGCCGGTCGATGTGAGCTACGAAATAAAGAAATTCGAGTTCAAAATCAAATCGTTCGATTTTTGCGGCAGACGTTCGACGCGCGTCTTTCATGCATCTCGCGAGATCTCGCAGTTGTACGGAAAATCACCTATTACAATGCAATGTAGCAAGACAGGCTTCAAAGTTAAAACAATTGAGTGTGTGGGCGTGGTGGAAGTAGGTGCATAGTCACCACTTTATTCTTAGCAGTTATGTCAGCATATAGATATACACTGTACATAAAATTGAAGAAAACTTACCACAGCCTCTCCAAAGTTCAGCTAAATGACATTGTTCTTCGCCAGGTTCTTTACAACAATCAATCACATCCTTACAAGTTGTGGCCGGCGTGACTGGAATCTCAGACACAGTATCAGAACTATTACTGAGATATACCTTCAGAATCACCTGCAACATAGTCCAAGAAAATAAATAAAGAATTGTTAAATCTTTAAACTGAAACTTAAATTTCTTATTTTATTACTTATAAGTTGTTAAATAGTTGAATATATTTACATTTAAGCAATTAATCTCTTGAAAAGGAAACTTTTAATTACTAATCTAATATTTGATCTTATTTCACGGTATAGTTCAAAGGGTGTAAATCGTTGCAAAACAAAAAGACCAACAGTGGAGTTTACAATTACAGCCAACAACCAACATAGTTGAAATGATTCCTTCAAGAGGTGGTCTCGACCACACCTATATTAAAGTATCAACTCAGAAAAATTTCACAAGCAGCTGTGAAATATTAGAATACTTGTTGGTCCAAGTTAGAGGCACCATGCTAACACAACCATAGGGGTTACAAGAGTCTGTTACATTTTAGTGCACACGACTCAATCACAGTGTGTCAAGCCGAACACAGTACTAGATATTTAACCACAGTTCACAGCTGTCAAAGACTGTTACGAATAACGGGGAAAACCACAACAAGCTGCCATCATGCTTGTTAAAATTCATGAATCAAGACTGCATCTTACCATGCTGTTGTATCACATCCACTTGATGAAAAGTTTGCTTTCAAACACTGTATGCAACGACCGATACATGTGTTGGGCAGATCCCCCAAAAAAACTTGATACACCACAGTGAGTAAAAGCGAGTGTTGTGATCGCCACAAGGCTGAAGGCTTCAATAGCATTAGCATGGTATGCAATCTTTTCGACTATGTTACAAAACAGGACATGGTTACAGTGACCCCCAGGATGACAATGGGCGTTGTTATTTCATGGTCATTTCAAAGATTATGACAATAAGTTAGCTGTGATTTTATGGCTAAATAAATGCACTCTTAGGAATTCTCTCCCCAATTACAGATGTCCTAGTCATATTCCGGTCACTGAACATTGCCTTGATCACAAACTTTGTAGGGAATATGTAAATTACAATGCAAGTTCCTCAGACGTCAGGTGTTTTTGTGATATTATATGAAGCATGAACAAAAATAACATGATCAAAAGAAGATGGTTGAACTGAACACAAGGACAATAGAGGGGAAACCAATATATTGGTTATATTAGCTCAATATTATTAACATTTTAGCTAGCGTAATTCCTTTATTTGTCAAACCCACTCAGCCCAATAGGTTCCAGCCATGGTTGTTAACAATATATTGTTTTCCTTAGACTGAATTTCTTGAGCTACCTTAACACAGAGTGAGAAGACAGCATTTATCAACACAGAATGATACATGTAAAACCATATGCATTCCTGATGCTCACCAGTGAATCATTTTTTTGCGAGACCGTTTTCTCAGAATAATTCATAGTTTGTTATTCATCATAGCCAAAAGTAGTGAAATAGAGTAATTTGTTGCAGCCAAATGTAAGTTACAGTACCATATTTGCATAATTAGAAGGGCAATTCCAATAAAAGCGCATATAAACCCGAAATCACATTGGCTCTATTTCACGTAAGTGGATGCACTTCTATAGTATAATAAAGCTAATAAAATGTTCATAATTGGCAACTTTTGTACCAGTTTAGATGAAGCCCGGAATAGCGTGGAGGAAAGAAGTGGAAATATTATATGGGTGCTGACACCATAGTCTTTTTTGGTGAATTTTACATTCTTTGTAATAACAGCAAAAGCACATATACAAAGGTAACAGGAAGTCAAAGTTGTATAACTATCCCTGGCAGCACTGTAATAAAGTTCATGGGGACTTTCAAGTTTTCAAAAACCTCATTTATGTAAAAGGGAGAAGTTAGTTTTCAACAGGTAGCTTTAAAGATTTCTGAAGTGACCTAAAACATTGAAAGTAGATCATGGGGGCATTTCAAAGATTGCAATCTGAGTTCCGTTAAGTACCCCAAAGAGAGTGATTACCTGCCAACAGGAAGAGGAAAAGTGAAATTCACCAGATAGTGAGACATATACAGTTTGCAATACCAAAAGAGATCAAGAAACCTTGAGGGTCAGCGAACTCAGGTAACTGCATAACTTTCCACAATCAATCAGCTGCAGGTATTTTCCATATAACTTACATGTACATTGGTATCACATTTTTTAAGATGAATGAGTGTTCTGTTTATGAAGTCAGTTACTGATTTCCCAATGGTCCACACACTTTCAGATATTCAGGTACCAACGCATTACAGCTTAAAAAATAAATTGTTAAATTTTCTCTTCCATGGCATTTGCACACAGGGCATTTCTACAATCCAGGCTCAGACAGACAGCTAACTCACAGGATAATACAAGTGTGATTAAAGAGCTAGGTAACCTAACCGTAAGTGGTGAAAAGAAAACAAGCTTGTAATGAAAAGGTGAAGAGTTAATTTGAGTGAAGTCAGGGGGGGGGGGGCTTTTTGGTATAATACAATGTACCCGGTAATACCTTCTGTAGGTCAGTCAGAATATATGACCATTTTCTTAGGCATACAACTGATGTACAATAACATATAAACTCATGGAAACCTAGTTGCCTTAATAAAAACATAAACATTCTGCATACCTTACAGACAGACAATATACTTATAATCTAAATATCAAACATTTCTAAGTTCCTTTCAAAGTTTCTATTTGCTGTATTTGCCCTATTGGAGGCTCACCTTCAATATTAAAGGGGAAGTCAAGCCAAACAACACAATGACCCCCCAAGAAAAGGCTCCACAAATGTAGGAGAATGCAATACAGTTTTTTTTATATCACTTTTCATTCTCTAGATATTCAACATTTCATCAGTATTATGTTGTCAGCCATATTGATTCTCAAGCAAAGGATCATGGGTAAAGTATGACATCACAGAGTCTGTTGTAAGAAATTGAGAAAATGATTTCATCTATAACATGGGAATTACTGATGCGAATTAGTTCAAATTTTCGTTATGCATATAACTCTTGCATATGATTATAGTAATGTAAATTAGAATGTTACAAATACACATGAAATGAAGATATTGCCCAAAACTTTAAAAAAATAAAAATTGTTACACTTTTTTGTCCACTTTTTATGATCAACAAGTAATATATCACCTATATAACCTACTCGCATCGGTAAATTGTATACAATATAAGGAAATTTGAGCATTTGGTAGAAAAACATAAAAATAAATATTTTCAGTTCTGTTTCCATGACAACTATTATATAAGCATGTTTGGCACCAGTACATGTATGCTACCCTGTTCTAAACTTTCAGCCAATTTAAAGTTCAACTTTTGAAGTTATAGATGAAATCATTTTCTCAATTTCTGACAACAGACTCTATGTCATACTTTACCCACAATCCTTTGCTGAAGAATCAAGATGGCGGTCTACATAAATTGATGAAAAATTGAATATCTAGAGAATGAGAAGTGATATAAAAAAAACTGTAAATTGCATGTTCTTACATTTGCCGAGCTCTTCCATCGAGGAGTATTATGTTGTTAGCCTTGACTTTCACTTTAATAACACATGTAAATCAAATAACAAATTTTGTTGCATATAGTTACTCTCAATACTGGTAATTTAAGCATGACCTATTTTGATTATAATAACAACTCTGTAATTTACATTTGTGCTACTAATAAAGCAAATACAGTAGTTGTTTATCAGCATATTAGAAAGGGCCATATTTGTATGTGAATTACATCTAGCTGATAATAAAATACTGTAGAATACTTTATTTTCGCTTGGAATTAAATTTTGTTATTTTCACTGAAGGAATAATTCAGTGAAAATAAAATCCAGCGAATATACTTTTTTTTCTATATAACGGGATAATCAAGCAAACAAGGTACTAAGGGCATTAATAGATGATTGAGCAGCCAATTCCTTTAAGTTTGACTCTGCACAACTTTTTTATTAAAAAAATAAAGTTTAGCTCAAGATATTTATGAAAGTTATTTTGAATTGAAATTCTTTATTAAGCTAAATGGATGAGATTGCCATGCTAATAACAGAGGGTGTTACAAATTACTTCCAATGTGCAAATACCAAATTGACTTCCTCTATAACCCCTAGCCATGTCTCCATGGTGATCCATCCATCAATCAGTCAGTCAGTCTTGACTTCATGTAAATGCATGTAGCTCACTTATGTTTAAATACAGAATCATTGACATATACATGTATACATGTACCAAGATGACATACAGCCACAGATGGCTTTAAATAACTCACAGACAAGTACATAGAGTGATGTGATGATTATCACATCACATCTTTCCAATATAGGAACCATAGTGACATATACAACACATTTAAAAATACATTTTTTGTTTATACAAAATTCAAACATAAGCTGCGAGGCGACCACACCCTTTTGTTCAAGGAAATAATATCAAATCTAGTGAAATCCCTACCTAATATATTGTTTGAGTTTTGTATTCAAGATTACAAGGAATTATATATCAAATTGTACAGTTAAAGTGGGAGATTACATATATCCCTCAGACACTCTTTATATACTGCATCTAGTCATCTGTTCGCTACAATTTTAGCAACTTGGCTGGATGTAAATTTAGTATTAATACTGCAAAAAAAAAATATTACTAACAATATACACTTGGTATAAAGCTGAATTTAACATATTGGGCAAATTGTTTGCACGCACTACATTACTTAATATAGTCAAAGCCAGATTGAAAACAATTGACAAAAATTCACAAACATACAAATTATCATAAGCACATGTGCGAGTAAATGCTAGCTGCTTTCATGTCCCATTTAACTACTTTCACCTGTCCTAGTCTCAGTATCTGTAGTGAGTTAATACCACATGCAAATAGGGGGCCAAGGAACCACAATACCCTGGGTCACTTAAAGCTATTTTTCATTTGATGTGCTGCCAGCGAACACTAGAAAGCCTGTATATAATGTTTTCTTTTATTTTTTTTTGTTGGAGCATGGCGTTTATCTAAGGAAGGACTGTGCCCTCCAGAACTGATTCAGAAATGTTATCATTCATTTCGCAGTATGTT